TCTTTCTTTTTTCTTCTCTGTCCAGTCATATGCACCTCTCTCCTGTCTCACTTTTCACTCACACCTCCACCAACTTCAACCGCACCCCCTTCTTTCTCCCCTCCCCCACCACCCACCTCACTACCCCTCTCTTTCGCCGTATTTCATTCTCTTTCATTATATAATATTTTTTAATCATTTTTTTATATATATTCGTAATATATTTGTACTTTAAAAAGTGATATCCGTAAAAAATCATATCATAAAAATGATAAGGTCAAGTCATGTTAAAAAAAATCCTCAAAAATTTAAACGTTTTTATCTAATAATAATATATTTGTTCGTGCGTTGGCTGCTGGTACAACCCTTATATGAAGGGTCGGCGTTGAAATAAATGTGCCACAATTTCTTTTCCAATTACCTGGATGACTGTTTTTATTTAAGAACGTTATTTCTCACTTTGGATAAATATTGCGAAGAATATTACATCGTCGACCCGCCATCAGAGGTCTATCGATATTCGCAAATTCTCGCAAGTGCTGAGACACGCGTATATCTCTTTATATAGAATCTCGATTTAATAACTTACATCGGCGTCTAAGGTAGGCTTCCACTACAATACCTTACTGATGAGTCCAGTAGTGGAAGCCGGGACGAAACGCCAAACATTACGTGATATTCTTCGCAATATAGAATATTAGAATATATTATCAGATTTAGATTGACTCTTATTCGCCATTCTCAACGTATTAATTATTGTCTTTATTTACATCACTTTTGAGGATTTGGAAAGTCTTTTGACGCGATAATTTGCGTCGTAAGCGCACTGTTCAAACTTCCGCACTCGTGGATGCGCAGCAGATTATACGAACGATAACCGAATTCTCTTTGTGCTTTCGAGCACGATAAGTACGACCGAAGAGCTATATGTCACGAAAACAGTGGTCTTGCCGATGGTTGGAGATGGAATGGCGAGCTGAGCATGAACAGCTGACTTCGGCGAACGCTTTGTTTTTTTTGCAGAGGACTAAATGGTCGCGGAAATTGACAATAATAGCTCGCTTCGCGAGCGCGATACATTGAGAGTTCTAGAAGGATTTAACTATAATCGCTCGGATTCCCGAACAATCACGATAGTCGAGCGGCATTTGGACTGCGCGCTAGGCGGCGAAGAGAGGGGGACAGTGGAAGATGGAGGCGATTCGAAAAGCCGAAAGTTGCATACACTTTATGTATGGTTACTTTGAACTGGCACCTTTAATTAGTAATATATCAGTTACTTTTCGTGGTAATATATTATTATTAGATAAAAAGATTTAAATTTTTGAGAACCCCTTTTTTTGAATATGGCTTGACCTTTTCATTTTTATGATACGATTCTCCAAGCCTGTAATTTACTAATTTCTTTAGTAACTTCCAATTGGTTATACGTAGCGGTTAAATTTAATTTAGTGAAAAAATCTTCGCTGCTTAAGGGTGCTATTTCATTCATGCGTTTTTGTCGTACGACAAATTTTTCAAGCCTGTTGATTGGCTATAGAATAGAGAGATCAGTTATACGACAAAAACGCACGAATAAAATAGCACCCTATAGACGTAAACAATTCATGAATTCTCGATAAAGGATGTTTAACGTCCTCCAGATATTTTTTTTAACCGTTACTTTATAATCCGCGCAAATTCTTAAACTACCTTTTTTAATAATTGGCACTAGAGGCGTACTCCATACTGAGTTATCCGTTAACTCTATTATTCCTTTCCTTTTTTCTAATTATCCTAATTGTTTGTTTACTTCCTCTTTGAACGCTATAATGATCGCTAATATCGGCCTTGGTTTGACAAAAATCGAATTTGCCCCTTGTGCTAACTTAAGATCTATTAAAAAACCATAAAATATGTATCCGAGGATCAGGCAATTGAGAGTCAAACGTGGTTCTTTGTACATAATTGAATATGTATTCTTTAGAAATATTGAACGTTTCGACTCTACTTTGGAGTCATCTTCAGCATAATTAATCTCTGTACTCCTCCGAATGGAGGCACCTTTTTGATGAGTCACTTTGGCTTTTCCTGTTTTCACACTGTGAATATTCGTTATGCCTGCCTTAGACGACGTTGCCACGGCTGCTTCCTTTTTCCTGACCATTTCTAAAATAGACTGCAGCGTTGCTCGTAATTATCATTTGGAAATATAATAATATAATTAAGACAATATCAAAAAATATAATTTTAACTTTGGACTTTACTTTTCTTCGTCATTCAACGATGAAAACGGATTCAATTAATTTGACAGGAATGACTTTTTGAACTTTGTATTATTGATGTTAATTTTAAATATGCATTTTAATATGTTTAGTCTGTGATATGAGCCTATTTAATTTAACGTATACTTTAACTATCGTGTAATCTAATTTGAATATGTATAAACTTTATACATATTTATATGTATTCATGCATGAAAACTCACCCGGTTATGTAAATTGGCAAATAGTTAAAAACACAGGAAACTCAGTGCTTTATCAGGAGAAACATTTCTATTAATAATATAAAATAAATTGAACTCTTGAGATTTAAAACAATAATAATAAATGTAAAATTAATTAGCGGGCAATTGAAAACTAAGAATAAACGCAGTTATTCATGCATATAATTAATAAATGTATTTAATCAAGAACGATCTCACATTAAATTCGCAAAAAATTTCTATTAATTCCGTCATCATTGAATATAGGATATGAGTTATACAGCCACGAATTTTGTTGGAAAGTGGAGATTTTGGATAGTAAAAATATCTTAGCAAAAGATTGTTATTGGAAATGATACATGAAAATAAAAACAATACAATGGTATCAATTGAAATTTTTTTTATGCATGAATATATTACATGAATATATGTATAAACTTTACACACACACACACACACACACACACACACACATACACACACATATTTATATATGTTCATGCATAAAAACTTTTACCGGGGATTATATAAGATAAATTATAGATAAAAACTGATATTTAAAAACAAGAATCTCAAAATATCAAAGTCAGAAAAAACATTTGTACTAATTCAATAACCACAAAGAGTGAGTCACAAATCATAAATTTTGATGAGATAAGGTGGAGATTTTGGATTAATTCAAAATAAAATAAGCAATTTATTAGAACCGTATAACACAATAAAGAAATAATGCCTATAAGGATCAAAACTGGATTTCAAGTATTTTAAATAATTTTATGTAAATTTATATATCACACACACACATTTTGTAGTCTCCTGAATTGTGCGCCGAATTAACTTTTCAAACTTCAAAACGCAACCAAACTATTAAGTAATATTAGTGTAGCAATAATATACAGGATGTTTGAGAAGTAATGAAAAATTAAACAAACAATTTAATAATTTAATTAAATCTTATAGGACCGTGAGAATTAAAACCAATGAGAAATAAGCCGTAATGATCAAGCTGGATCTTGGGTGTTTCGACAATTATGTATGAATTTATAATACTGCGTAAATTTTTAATTGCGCGCTGAATTTTTTTCAAATTTGAAACGCAAACTCTACTAAATTACCGCAATAATATCATGAAATTTACTAACAATTTAATAATTTTTGATGCTCTTTTACACATCTTAGATCGATCTTAATAATATTGAATGACGTATGAAACTCTAAATAATTAATTCTCATAACAAAAAATATAATATTACCTCGGCCGGAAGTCGAACTTGAATTTCTTGTATTCTGTGTGAGCGTCCTAAGTCTTTAGACTACCGAGGCAATTGCCTCAGTGAAATGTACGAGCAGAATATTGTAAAACTCTTAAGACTAACTAATAATTGATTAAATTTTATTTATTGGAAAATTGAATCTGCGCACTAATTATCGCGTCAGACTCTCATAATCCTGTATTTCTTCATATTTTTGTTGAGCTTGGAAGTCCTTTTATATACAGTTTATATTGACAAATTTAATTTCCAATTGTTCGAGAGTCGTTGATAAATAAAATTAAGAAAAAATTTTTACATTTAAAAAAATAAAATATAAAAAGGTAAAAAAGGTAAAAATTCTAGACGAACAACCTTGCTATGACAAAAGATTAATTTCGGAGATGTTGAATATTAAGAGACAAAATAACAGCCTTAATTTCCAAACAAATAGGCCTTCACAAAGGATATACCGATTATAAACAATATGTGACTTTGCGGTATCAAGAACATTAATATTCTAATATTGCTCTAATATTGCTCACAATCAGTCGTTGTCGGTTGGTATAGTTCTTAATTTTTGATTTTGTAAGTTCTTATTTTTTTCGACTTCTTGAATTGTGACTAATTTTTTTATCATCATACAATTTTTAAAAGTTGATGATACAATTAAACTTATAATAACTTCATCAACTCACACCGCGACTGATTATTATTTAATATTTTGTTACATTACTCTAATGTGCATTTTATTGTTTATTATAAATTTTAAACATGATATTGTAAGAAACACATCTTTAGTTCTGACTAGGTGAGTTATTCATTGAGATAACAAATTTGCTCATTACATTTAAATTTATTATACCACGTTTCATCACACCAGATTATCGATTTTGTCAACAATTGATTTGCTAATCTTTTGTCAGCGAATTTGTTCTCCCGGTGAGTCACTCATCAGTAGCACAAGAATACATTTATAATGTTACTGTCACTACGAATACAATAGATATCTTATACATTTAAAAAATGCTCGAAACAAGAGCTGAAACATGTTATGTATATATGCAGTTTAATTTTGTTTTAATTATATTTTAATTTTTCAAATGTAAAAATTTTTTATTAATTTTATTTATCGACGACTCTTGGATTTGCCCTTTACTTTATCCTTATTATTGTTTTGACATCGAGAACTTTGTTTTATTATTATTTATTTCAATTGTTCGTTTGAAGAACAAAAATAACAAAGCAAAATGTTTTTATAGTGTAAAGCTGATTTTTTGGATTGGTTTAGAAATCTGAAAACAAAGATGACTCCAAATATTTTAAGCACAGATTCAAAAATAACACTTACGGAAAAAGATTTACAAAATGAGAAATCTTCGATTACTACTAAGATGATAGATAATGAAAATGACATACAAAATAGAGATGAAAACTATACAAAAACTGAAGGCTGGTTCAAGACAGAGCTGAAATGGTTTAACATCTTACATCTTAGTTTTCTCCACTTATACTTCGTATATGCCTGTTTTACTTTTAACTTTTTTGAAAATCTGCTGACGACAACTTGGAGTAAGTATTCTTTAAAAAATTCTTTTTTTAATTTAATTCCTTGACATTCTAAAGAAACTACATAATAAAAAGATAAAATTTAGACCATCAATGCATAAATCATTTCTTACAATCTTTTTATAAAGATAAATCCAAATGTAATTTGAATAAAATTCAAATAATATCATGTCTTATTTGGTGAGAGTTTCAAATTAAATACCGATGAAAATAAGCCATTTACGGTTAAGCTGGATCTTGGATGCTTCTAATATAATTATCGAGTGAATTTATATACTACGTATGTAGATTCTAAATGCGCGCCGAAATTTTTTTCAGACTTACAATGCAAACTAATAAACTAGTGCAGTACTATAACGAGTTAAATTGAGCTAGGACTTGCGCGTAAAGCAAGCGATCCGGATTTGACTCCAGGCCAAGGTAATATTTTTCGCAACGTTAATTATATTATTTACAGATTTTTAATATTGTCATTTATAGATTTTAATATGTCATTCAACATATTATTAAGATGCTATGAGCATCAAAATTGTTAGATTGTCAATTAATTTAACTCGTGATAGTACTGCGCAGTAGTTTATTAGTTTGCATTGTAAGTCTGAAAAAAATTTCGGCGCGCATTTAGGATCTACATACGTAGTATATAAATTCACACAATAATTATATTAAAAACATCCAAGATCCAGCTTGACTGTAAATGGCTTATTCTCATCGGTATTTAGTTTGATTAAAATTGTAATGTATATTAATAAAAAAAATATCACGGTTTTACGATTTCTAATATGAACAACGGCCAATTATTTGAACAAATAATACAAGCTTAACGGGGGGGGGTTGACAAAAAGTTGTTTTGTAATTTAATATAAAATATAAACGTTTTGACCTATAGTCTTATAGGTATTGAATTATCGAATTAGCATTGGCTTTTATGCTCCTTTTTACATTATACAATCAATATTATACAAAAAAATAAGAAGTCTTACAAAACAACTTTTTGTCAACCGTTACTAATTCCAATTATTAATTCAATAATGTAATATAAAATATAAACGTTTTGATCTTTACTAGGTCATTCTTGATATTTCAAATTATTGTTTAGTATATAAATAAAATTATATTCAAAAATAAATCGTGTTAATTTTTAAACATAGTATAATTTAACCAAATATTATGTTTAGAAATCAATGCAACTCAGTTTCAAATATAATTTTGAATATGTTCTTAATGTGATAATTTCAAATACTAAGAATGACCTAATAAAGGTCGTATTATTTATATTTTATATTATATTGTTGTATTAGTCATAAATAAATGTTATAATTATTAAATTTGCATCAAGAATTGGTATATCAGCTTTATGCTCTTTTTTTATATTATATAATTTTCATTAGTCTTAAAGTCCGTTATGTTTAAATATCAATTGTGTTATAAGTTATTATAAATTGTCAAATATGCTGCATTTTTAATAAAATCTATTTACATGATTCTCTCATAAGAAATACGGATTAAGTTATTATGAATAATATTAAAGCTTCTATTGTTGTTTAATTATATCCATCTTTTTGTTTCAAGTGTATTGCACGTTTGTAATAGGAGGAATTGGTGTCACTGCCGGTGCTCACCGTTTGTGGACTCACCAAGCTTATAAGGCAAAATGGCAGCTTAGAGCTATATTTGCTGTTTTCTATACTTCGGCTGGCATGGTAGACCAACATTTATAATTTTATTTCTTTTATGCAGGTAGAAGAATTTTTTTTAATTAAATCCTTTCAGAACAACATTCACGAATGGGTGCGAGATCATCGGGTGCACCACAAATATACGGATACGGATGCGGATCCGCATAATAGTAACCGAGGGTTCTTTTTCTCTCATGTCGGTTGGCTGATGATGAAAAAGCACCCAGATGTGATTCGAAGAGGTCGTCAGGTAGATATGAGCGATGTATTGACTGATCCTATTGTTGCATTCCAAATCAAGTAAGTTTGTGTAAAAAATTAATTATGTAAAATAGTTACATGCTGGAAAAGACAAAAAAGATATAAGAAAAAAAGGAAATTCCAAATTGTGCCCGTATAAAGTAAAATTTACATCATCTTTTATAATTGTTGAAGCAAGGATATAATGCTAGTTAAAATTACGTCGGATTATAAATATATATGACGAAAACATATGTGTAAGAAATTAAGTTTAATGTCGAAAAAAACGTGTGACATCGATTCATGAGACTGATCGTTAACGCTATATGTATCAATTAGATAATGTGGTACATGCCTTTGACCACCCCCCTGCATCCACACCGTCGATAGAGGCTGCCCCGACAGTATTATCATAGCAACAGTACAATCGTAGAAGTCGTGTTCTCCTGTGCAGGGGGAGGGGGGTTAAAGTTACTTCGCGTGGAAAGTTCAACGCTTCTGAACAGGGAAAGCTGTAGAATTTCGTGTAAAAATAAGTAAAAATAAGTCGAAACGACACCACTGAATGGATTGGATTAGGTTATTTTTAACAGTAGTGGAGCCCCCCGTAGAAGGGGACGGAACCTACTGCATCCACGCGTATCACTTTCTTTTCATCGAAATAATCAATAAGGTTTCGAAAATTCTGTGTTAGATGACATTTGTGAATTAATGGTAGAAGTGTATGCACATGCGATCACAGAGCATAAAGAAGGTATGTTCATAGCGTTACACGTATAGTTCGTATTTATTATTATATATTTTATTATTATTGAATATTATAAATTCATTGATCGCGATATGGTGAGTAAAAACGAGCCATTATGTCAAAAAATACATCAATACGTTCTTGCAAAGAGAGAGAGAGAGAGAATAATAACGTTTAAAGTCACACTGTATAATAGAAATAAATCGTAATTTTTCAAACTTTTTTGATCATAACTTTTTAACGGACAGCTACCACCACCTAAAACCTGCGGGAAGTTACTCAGGGTCATGACCTTGACAACATATGTCAAGGTCAAGATCATCGGGGGTGGCTCTCCTTTTCTATATATTTACCCAACTTTTTTTCAAATTAGTTTATTAAATATGCCGCTACGAAGATTCACTTTATTATTATCATTTTGTTTCAATATTATGTTTAAATAAAAAGATATTGCAGTGACGGCCGAGTTTGATCGATGTCGATAAAATAAATTTTTAATTTTAAAGTAAAACATTATGTGCATTAAGTAAAACATTACATATGTTAAATAAAACATTACGTGTTAAGTAACATTACGTACATATTTGCTCTTCTGTGTTCTATATATCGTATGAACGCAAGGTTACTTATACAGCACGAAATTAATTGGTAGGCGACTGTTAATCAGTAGAAGAAGTTTAATGTTGACTAAGAAGTTAAACTGATAGTCGATTTTTAGTCGACTAAAAATCGATAAATATCTTAACAACAATTAGTCAGTTAGTTAATATAGTTAATACAAAGTCGACATTACGGCGACTATAAGTAGACAATTGTAAAAATGTCATGTCTTGATAAAAATTTTTGCATAATTGCGACCAGATGTGGCATAGCTATGACATATCTGGTTAATAGGTAAATTCAAAGATGTATTTTGATATTTTTTAGGTATTTTTGATATATTTTAGATATTTTTGAGATATTTTAAAATGTTGTTTCAGAACTTCTTGTTTGATTTAAAATAACCTTTCCGAAATTATCATATATGTCATTTGACTTTTTCGTCTCGTCTCGTTTTATCACAAAAAAATTTGCAAGAAATTTGTGTGCCAGTAAATTTAGCTTAAATTATTAGATCTTATAATTAAAAAAAAAATCATATACTTTAATAACTTTTAAATTGTAATACCACTGATGATGCCCATATTGAAGGCCGAAACGTTTGGTTTAGGAAATAATGAATTTGTGTATATTATATGTAACGAATTAAAATTGTTTTAAATATAAGACTATTCGCTATTAATATCTTGCGTGTGGTTAAATGCTCTACTTTTGTTTATCATTTATTTCGAAACCACGTATAACCTTGTATTTAAAAAAAAATTTCTGTTTATTTAGAAAATACTTATTCATACATGTTCAAGATTTTTTGCAAATGAAATCGTCTCTTAACTAATATTATTTGCTACTTTGATGTTGTATACATTTGTCGAGTTTCAAAACATCGCATATTTAAATACTAATTATAAATATTTACATATACTTCATCAATATTTCATAAACGATTATGATTTTTAAATTCTATTTTTATTATTTTACAGTCTGTCTATCTCAAGCGTGGCTATCTCAAAGAAAAATTGTTTATTAGCCTTAAATTTATATTGATTGTATTCAGTAGGATTATGACTAAAATACAATTATATTAATAAGGAGTCCAGACACCAGCTGCATCTATAATAAAATACTAAAGAAGTCGCATATTCACGTGGCAAAGACCTCCAGATTCGTCGAATTTCGTTTTTTTAAGCGCTTCGAAATTGATATCGGTCTTTCACGAAGCTTCCTCTTGATGAGTGACCACACATTTTTAATAGGATTCGCATCGGGTAATTGTGAAGGCCAGTGGAGTGTCTCGATGTCATTTCCATTTTTTCAGGACGTGCAGAGCCGGCTTCGATGTTTGAGGTCATTATCCTCCTGGAGTAACCAATCTTTATCTTTACTTATAAACCAGCGTTGGGCAGACAAAATCAAAGCTTTTTGGTATATTTTTAACATTTTCTCAGCATTCAGATTGTCAGTAAAGAGATAAAGCCTGCTTCGAAACGAGACGCGTAGACAACACTCATTTTGAAAATCTTTTCTTCTAACACAATTCAAGTAACAACAAAAAAAAATATTTTGCTTATAAAGCATGCAGCATTTTATGTCACCTTTAGGTGACACCTCTATCGGTGAAAATAAAAATTCAGAATATATCTTTACTCGACTGTGGGTGAGCCTTGCTACGCTCTTACTAGACAGACTGTAGTGGAAAGTATGCCTCGGAGGTGCCAGTCTATTATAGACGCAGCAGCTGGTAAATGGACTCTTTATTAATATAATTGCATTTTGGTCATAATTCTACTGAATATACAGTCAATATAAATTTAAAAGGCTAATAAACCATTTTTTTTTTAGATAGGCCTGTCACGCTCTTACTAAAAAAACTGTATGTAAATATGATATTTATGATAATATTTTTAATATTTACAATAAATTTTTACAGTCTGTTTAATATAAGATTACAAAACTATTTTGGTAAAGATTTAAAATATTAGAAGTACAAATTAGTTCGGTCCGTTTTCCAAAAGATGATCGTCTCAAAAGACGAGTCATTTTTTGGAGATGGAATTCGAAAATTGATTGAGAGATGGGAAAAAGTAGCCAGCGATGGACAATACTTTAATCTGTTCATTAATTTTGTTTTGAAATGCATTTTTGAACACAAAAAACGGAGCGAACTAATTTGTACACCTAATATAATCAAATTATTTTAAAAATATTTTAAAATATATTTTAAAAATATTTTGTGCTGTCATATGATCATATTCATTCATTGTACATGAAAGATTCTCACTGAACATGATCGCGTGTTCTTAAACTTATCGAAAAAAAGTGTCGCAACCTCATTGTTTCTTACAGTCATCAGATCGTACAGTACAGTACATTAATTCGCTGAGTTGTAATACTAATTTTATTTATATTCAGCTCAATATAATTTAAATGGGGTCAATAAGTCAGACTACTGTGACTCAGCTGTACTGAACTGTATACCACTTGCTTCTATTCAAAATGTTAATTTGAAGGCCTCATGCAGTATTTAAACATAAAAAAACTACTTTTTCTTCGAATATATACCTGGAATCATTTATATGTGAAGAAATAATCGATGTGGTAATAAAAACTGTAATTTCCAACTTTTTTTAGACATTTTATATACATATAAATAGGTTCCTAGTTTTCATAAGTAGCATTAAAAAAGATTTGTTATTCTATATAAGGAAAGCAAACAAAAAATACAAAATAAGTGTTTTGTAGACATACCACAGACGACGTCAATAGCTTAAATGCGCAAATAATTATCAATATTTTGAGAAAAGATCAAAGTTTTCACATATGTTTTTGTAAATATATTTGTATAATTGCAGATAACAACTTTCATGTAAAATTACATCATATATTCATCAATTTTATAAATTTTGTTCTGTAGAAATTTAAATCAATTTGAAAGCATGTATTTATTACCCCGATATATTTTCGCAGCATTTTCAATTAAAAAAAATTTTTTTTACAGATTTTTTACGTAAGATGTAAAATTGTAACGTAAAGAAATCACATATTATATTAAATCGATATTATTTTGCAGATATTTTCCGATATTAAAATTTATATTCGCTTTCCTGCTTCCGGTAATGTTACCTGTGTATGGATGGAATGAGACTTGGTATAGAGCTTTCGTGTCGCAGAATATTATTCGTTATGTTTGTCTTTTAAATAACATATGGAGTGTTAACAGTGCAGCTCATATTTGGGGCTCAAAACCATATGATGCGTAAGCTAATAATTAATATCAAAATTATTTGCATATAATAACTTTGATTAGAAGACATAAAATTTTTGCCATATGTATCGCTTATGAGTAATTTTGTCTCGTTTATTTTAACGGCAGGCATATAAATCCAACAGAGAACTGTTGGGTTAACTGGTCTACGGGCGGTGAAGGATCACACAATTATCATCACGTTTTTCCGTGGGACTACAAAGCTTCTGAGTTTCACGATTCCACAGCCACAAATTTAATTAAATTCTGTGCGAAAATCGGGTGGGCATACGATCTCAAAGAACCGTCGGAGGAGCTAGTAAAGACCGTCGTGATGAAAAAGGGTGATGGAAGTCATTCTTTGTGGGAAGCTGTGCCATATCCAACTAATAAAATTGAATAATAAAATTGACAGAGAGTGTTATATATCATCTTTACGATAGAGGTTGTTTGGATCAATCAACAAATGGACGCTATTAAAATAATTTACAGATGTTTGTTGATATGATAATATAGTTTCCATTTTTTAGACTGTAATATTTCCATTTCCTTAATAACCCCCTTTATGGTCCAAACGGAGATTCGAGGCGAATGTGTTCAATTTTAAATTATCCGTTAGTCAGTAAACGAAAAAGATTGGCTCCCCTCTCTAAAAAAAGTCAATATAATAAGGACTTATTGGCCAAGTAGACCGTAGTTTGTCGTGTTTCGTACAGTGCCAGGTGAAAATTGAGCGTGTGGCATCAATAATCCGGTTGGACCGACAAAATTACTTTTTGTGTAAATGGATATTTTTTAGCTTTTATTTCAATACGTAAAGAATGTGAATTACATATATAATAATGCATTATAATTTGATTAGATCATATTTGTGCTTTGATAAGTTAAATAGAACGTTGTGTCTTTGGTTCTTAGAAATATGATGAAATGTGATAAAAACTTTTTAAATGAGCAATTTTAGAAAGTTTTTAGACTGTAATATTTCCATTTTCTTAATAACCCCCTTTATGGTCCAAATGGCAGTACTCTGTTATAATGTTCATAGAATAAACGCAAATATGTATTTTCGGTTATCATGCAAAAATTAAGAAAAAAATTCTTGTAAATCATTATTCAAAAGATGTTAAAAATTTGAAAGATAACGATTTAAGATAATTAAAGAGTGTAGAATTAAAAAATATCAGAGTTTTGTGATTAATTTTGTGATTTATTGTAAAATTTGTTCCAATCGTTCGAAAGAACCCGTGTCCAAATCGGACCTATAAAAAAAAAACACTAAAAAGACGAGTAAACCAGCTAATTCATCGAAGAAAGCAGGTTCGTCACAATCTGATTTTAGTAATTGATCGACCAGATCTGGTCTAAGGAACACTAAATCAATAAAATATCATGCGTCATCAGACTCAGATTGATGGAATTTTTTATTGATTTTAATTCTAATAGTATAAACTGTATTTTTATCTTTGAGTCTTAAACTGCTCGTTTTTATACAATATTAACAAAAATTAATATTAACAAAAATATTTTCTATCTATAAGTCCATAAAAATAGGAGAGGTCTGATTTGAAACTCATAGTTCCAAATCGAACCGGAAAACGCATTTTTACATTTTCCATTATAGTTCGACACAGGTAAGAGATACGTCAAAAGCAAAAATGAAGGAAATTCTCGTAAGTGCTTTGACACGCGTATATCTTTTTATATCGAATCTCGATTGAATAACTCTCCCAGGCATCTAAGGTAGGCTTCCACTACAATGCCTTACTGATAAGTCCAATAGTGGAAGCCGAGACGAAACGCCAAAATTACGTGATATTCTTCGCAATATATTAGAATAAATTAAAGATTTTAACGAATTTATAGGCTCATAGCCTTGTTTCTCTTTATTAGTTTTAAAAATTTATTGAGCCTTAATAAAAACATTTTAATTTTATTTATTTATTTAACTTAATTAGTTATTTTATTTTATTTATTTTAATTAATTAATTAATTTTTTTTAGTTTAATTCATTTTATTAGTTTATTTCATTTTTTACTTAATTTAATTTAATTTTTAATTAGTTTTGGAATGTAGACATTGTGAACAGCAGTTTAATGGACAAAACGCTTTACATGTATATGTCACATGTACTATAGAAAAAATCTTGAAACGGTTCCTTTTCAGGATTCGGTTTTTAGATCTCGGTATTGGCTGCACCAATGTTATTCGGACTGGTTGCAATCGAAAGATACAGATAACATTATATAAAAAAAATGTTTTTAGATTTTTGATTGGGCTTTTAATTTCTGAGTAAAATTAATCTAAAGTTTGTAGATGTCAAAACTCCAGATAAAGTTAGCGATAGCGTCGCGAATTTGGCAGCAACATGAACATATATGGTACACGATGATGTTTACGCATCAAGCGGTTATATTTTTATTTTATGTACTTGGCGTCGCGACGCTACTGCGTTGCTTGATTACTAAGGGCCAATTTCACCAACGTCGGTTAAGCTAACCGACGATTGAAGTATTAACCATGATTGGTTCATTCTGGTCAACGACAAATGCGATTGGTTAATTCCATTGGAATTAACCGTTGGTTAGTCTAACCGACGTTGGTGAAATTGGCCCTAAGTGATATTGTATTCATATATTTAAATATTATTAATAGTACGTGACATTGCATTTATATATAAATATTATATAACGTAGGTTGCTCCAAAAATTTCCGCAAAATCGTATACTCGCAGTGCTCGCAAGAATCTGCATTTCGAGCCGATTTCTGCAAGCGCCGTCTCCTATATACCCCCACTACCGCCCACAACGCTCGGCGGCTTCGCCTTCGGCGGCTTGATCGCCGATCGCGCGCGCGGCACTATGGTTCAGGAGCGTCTCTATATCGGAACTGATAGGTACTACTTTTCGCGTATTTTCCTCCAAATCATTATTAGAATGTGTTTTTATTAAATAATTTCTCTCTCTCTTTTTATCAATATTCAATTATCTATTGTTAAAAAGAAATTATTTAATCAAAAAACATTCTAAGAATGATTTGGCGGAAAATACGCGGAAAGTAGTTCCGATCAGTTCCGATATAGAGACGCTCCTGAACGATCGGCCGCCGAACTCCGAAGCCGCCGAGTGTCAAACGGTAGTGGGGGTATAGAAGGCGGTGTCTGCTAGTATAGGCTCGGAATGTACAAATTCTTGCGAGCACTGATTGTAAAGGCATTTTTTATTGTGCTATTACTATATATCTGTTACAGTTAAATTACTTATAAAACGCGCTTATGCGTTAGTCTTTGAAACAGTATTGCAAACATCGTATGTCAACGAAGATATCGATATAGCACGCACAGTAAGTAATGTAGAAATATAAATTAATCCATTTTATCTTTTCGGATTTCGGGATATCGGATTTTGAATTAATGGGAAGAAAGCTCATAATTAGTGATTCAAAAAACAAAAAATAAACATGATAAAGAAGAATAATTAAAAAATATTAATAAAAAATTTCAAATATGTAGCAAACATCCATAAATGTATACAAGGTTTATATAAATAGTTATCAATTTTAAAAGATAATAAAAAATAAATTTATAATTTAACGTTAACTTTTAAATTTACAAAATATATTATTGTTCTGTTTTTCGTCTATAAAATTTTAAAGAAATATAACTTTGATCATAAGTGTGTAGACATTAAGTATAATTATATTTAAATGCTGGCCTAAAATATCAAGGCTCGTCAAATCCTTAATTTATTTAAGACGTTTAATAAATAATAATGTACAACCTATAATAAAAAAAATAAAAATAAGTGTTATAAAAAGAAATAAATAAATTTTTAATTTATATGCAATTATTAAAAGGATATATTTAAAATTATTTTATAATGACACACATGTATTATGTTATATCAATTAATATATATATTCTTTATATATAATATTTGTCTTTTATGTATATGCATAATAAGCAGTTACGTTAATAAAATTTTTTACAATGAATTTAAAAAATAATATATATAATAACTTTATGTATATAAAAAAGGATACATGATTAACATATTAATTACTATTAATTGATAGCAGATCATCTAGTAAGTTATCTAGTATTCTACGTTATATAATTATTATAATATAGCTAAATGACATTATTAACAAATTTGATTATTATTATATTTCATTATATCATTATATCTTTAATAGAATTTAGATATTCTAGTATTTTCCCAATATAAACGAATATGCTACATAAATGTGTTTGACAAAATATTAACAATAATATTTGAGCCTTTCAAAATAAAATTTTATTTATGAATGATATTTTACAATTAGCTATTTCTATAATAATTGCTCGATCAATATAATGGCTTTATGGATAATTGCTACAATAATTAATTCTTTGAGGTTATCAGTTATATTATAAGTAAGGACGAATCATCATTTGTGCAGTTTGAAAACTTGCGTAGAATATATGTATATTTCAAAAAAATTACAAATGAAATATACATATATTTAAAAAATTTTAAATATTAGAGAATACACATTATTTTTGATACTTTATTACAGTGTGTCATTCCTTATTTTATGTGAACAATAAATTGATTTGAAGAAAAAAGATGACAATTATTTGTTATAGTAATTTTTGTTAATAGCGTGAAGCAAATTTTCTGGATTCTCGGTTCAGTAATCTGAAAACACAAATGGCACCAAATATTTTAAGCACAGAGTCAAAAATGCTTACGGAGGAAAATACAGAAAATGAAAAATCTTCGATTACTACAAAGATGATAGATGATAAAAATAACGAACAAAACAGAAGCAAGAGCTATATAAAAACAAAAGGCTCGTTAAAGATGGAGCTGAAGTGGTTTAACATTGTAACTCTTAGTTTATTCCACTTAGGTTTTGTATATGCCTGCTTTACTTTTAAATTTTTCGAAAATCTGAAGACGACCTTATGGTGTAAGTATGCTTTGAAAAATTCTTTTATTAATTCACAATTTGTTGATTTCTTAAAAAAGACTAATAATAAAGAAGTAAAATTTAGTCTGTTAACAATTTGATTAAAATTTTGTTGTATGTTTTTCAAAAATGCAAAAAGTTGTTTTTAACGATTTTTGACGTCATAGCTGATTGAAAGACAATTGATTAGATTATGCAATTAAAGAGAGCATACAATAGAAGCTTAATAGTAAATGACTATTCAAAATTTCTCATTTCTACTGTATAATATCGATTGTATTATAAATCATCGTAAATTGTCAAATGTGACAGTAAAATCAATTAATTAAATGATTCTTTAAGAAATGAGGCATTTCACTTCAAACTTTTAAAACATAGTAAATCTTTTTTTTAATTTGCTGACATGTTCTACAGATAAAAATATGAAATACGCGTTCGCACAAAAAACCACAAATTTTTTTGTAAGACACATGTCTCATATTTTTATTTGTAGAATATATAAATTTAAAAAAAAATTTAAATTGCTATATGTTTTTATTTAATTTCAATGATTTGACGTGGAATACCTCAAATATGGATTAAGTTATTAATATACACAATTTTAAAGCATTTTTGATATTCTAATTGCGCCGTCCTTTTTTGTTTCAAGTAATCGTCATGATTCTAACATCAGGATTAGGCGTTACTGCCGGTGTTCATCGTTTATGGACCCATCGAGCTTATAAAGCAAAATGGCAGCTTAGAACTATACTTGCCATCTTTTATACTTCGGCTGGCATGGTAGACGAACGGTTATAATTATCATTTTATACATTATATGGCGGAAAAACTTTTTTTTATAATTGAATCTTTTTAGAATGACATTCATGAATGGGTGCGAGATCATCGGGTGCACCACAAATATACGGATACGGATGCGGATCCGCATAACAGTAACCGAGGGTTCTTTTTCTCTCACGTCGGTTGGTTGATGATGAAGAAACATCCGGATGTGATTCGAAAGGGTTCTGAGATCGATATGAGCGATATATTGGCTGATCCTGTTGCTGCATTTAATGTCAAGTCAGTTTGTGTAAAGAGTTATATATGTATAAATTACATCAAATAGTTTCATGTTGGAAAGAGCAAAGAAAATAAGAAGAAAGAATTAAGGGTGTTACTGAAAGGTTCTCGCTATGTTCTCGAAAAATGTATATTTATTATTACGACACCTTTTTGTAGCCTTTTCAATTTTCCTGAATAAGTCATTTATGAAATTATATAACCAAATCTTGTATAAAATTGGTAATTTGCATTTATAGGGATATATTTACAAAAACAGATGCAAAAACACAAATTTCTTCTAAAATATTAATAACTTTTGTAAAAGATTACGTCGTATAATTTTATAAATATCCTATAAAAGTTTGATCCATTTTGAAAACATATGTATATTTAGTATTCTGACATCTGTATGCAGCTTCTGTTAGAAAGTTTCTTTATATTTTTTTACATAAGATATAAAACTGTGATAAGAATACACATTGTAATTAATTTATGCTGTTTTGCAGATATTTTTCGATATTAAAATTTATATTCGCTTTCCTGCTTCCGGTGATGTTGCCTGTATATGCATGGAATGAGACTTGGTCTAGAGCTATTGTTTCGCAAATTTTTATTCGTTATGTATTCACTTTAAATGGCACATGGAGTGTCAACAGTGCGGCTCATATTTGGGGCTCAAAACCATATGATGTGTAAGCTAATAATTAATATCAAAATTATTTACATATAAAAACTTTGATTAGAAGGTATAAAACTTTTGCCATTTTGTATCGCTTAAGAGTAATTTTATCTCGTTTATTTTAACGGCAGGCATATAAATCCAACAGAGAACTGTTGGGTTAACTGGACTACGGGCGGTGAAGGATCGCACAATTATCATCACGTTTTTCCGTGGGACTACAAGGCTTCCGAGTTTCCCAATTCCACGACCACAAATTTCATTAACTTCTTTGCGAAATTTGGGTGGGCATACGATTTGAAAGAACCGTCAGAAGAACTTATAAAGACCGTTGCGATGAAGAAAGGTGATGGAAGTCATTCTTTATGGGAAGCTGTGCCATATCCACCTAAAATTAAATAATAAAAGTAACCTAGAATGTTTCATGGTAGAGTTTTTTTAGATTAATTAGCAACAGATGTACGCGATCAAGATAATTTAGTTAAATTTATTTTAGATAACTTATTAATATAATAGGAGTATTATAATATAATAATATATTATAATACGATAATAACGTTATCTTTTAAATTTAAATTAACTAGTAGTTTTTTTAACATGGCCGGAGACACTACCGCGTCTCCTGATGTAATAATATAATAATAATTAATGTTAACATATAATAATATAAACTTGCTTTTTTAGATTGTAATATTTCAATAGAAAAAAATAGATATTACATGTATTGTATATAAAATGTGTAATTTACAATAATTCGTGATTTTAGTTCATTATGAATATCTATTTCATCGTTACTATATCTTATATTGTGTAAAATTACAAACAGAAGAGAGAGAGAGAGAGAGAGAGAGAGAGAG